ACCCAAAACAAGTGGGGTTTCAACTACTTTAATCACAAACTCCGGATGTAAAGTCAAATTTAAACCATCAAAACTAGACTCAAGACGCCCATCAGCACTGCTCTGAAGAAGAGACAATAAACTCTCCAACTGCTCCAAATCAATCTCATAAACCTCTTCCACTTCCCCCAACTCTACATCTGAGGGGGAAAAAATGTTCATTTGAGTATCACCCTTTTCCTCTCCAACAAGCCCATTCCCAGGGGTAAGATTTTCCCTCTGTGTATCACCATTTTCACCAAATTCCACTGATAGCTGTTGTCCTTCAGCTGAATCAGAATCACTAGGGTTTTCTGAGAGCTGGGAAAGGAACCTACGGGTTTGGCAGAGAGAGGATCTGGTCGGAAAATGAGGAGATTGATCAACTAGTGTTAGGGTTTTAGAGGAAAGCACCTTATGGTTTCGAGTTGCACACAACTTCTGTGCCGCCTGTGTCGAAAGAGAAGCTCTTGCTGTCACAACAGACCTCCACATCTTTCTCTCGGCTATGGGGAGCTCTCAGTGTGGTTTATGTGTAACTCAGAGAGTGAAAGTGAGAGATCAAAAACCCTAATTTGGGGCAAAGTGCAGAAATGAAGGTGCGCTTATGCATTTGGGTACAAGCCGAATCACTGTTACCTAATTTAAATTTGACAGGTTTTAGATAAAGGAATAGTTTTTATATTTAAACCCCGCATTTCTTTTTATTCACTCCACATCTAAGTTAACTCTAATTTCTAATTCAAATTTTCTCAATCTATGAGATAACCTCACTATCTTCCCAAACTACCCCTAGATACAAACCCAACAGAAAAATAAATACAAATTTATAAATAAACTCAATCCTATACATGTATTTATAAAAAAAACTCAAGCACTATTTAAACATAGAAACACACCCAAAATCAACCCCAAAGTTAACTTTTTGGGTGTGTTTATAAATGGGTTTTGAGTGTGTGTAATGATGGGTTTTGGGTGTGTTTATATGTTTAAATAGTGCTTGGGTTTTTTTATAATTTCAACCCCCATTTTGGGTGTTTTAGTGAAACTCCCAAAAATAAATTATAAAATAAAATTTAAAACTCGTCAATCCCACATCTCACTATCTTACCCCTCACCACCCTAAGTTTATTTCAACTTCAAAATTACAGCAAATCTTTAATCACAACATCCTCATTAATTCTAAGAGGAGTCTCAAACCAAGAAATAATATCACATTACATACCTCAATTGACGACCCACAAGTCACTATTTGCATACCGTATTTAGGGTTTATGAAGAGAAGATGAGAATGTAGTAGGTTTCTTGGATTGAAATAGAAGAGTAATATGGCAATAGGGTGTAAGAGTTTGTGTTTTTCTAAAACTTAATATGAAGAGTGGTGGGGTGTCTGTATAGATGTATTAGGGTTAAGTATTAAGTTGGATAACTTTTTTTGTCTTTTTACACAATAATAGAACTTAAGAGCTTAATGATTTAAGTATTGGAGTAAACAAAGAAAAGTGTGGGGTTTAAATAAAAAAACTCTAAAAGAAAAGCTTTATTATTATTATTATTATACATTAAAAAAAAAGGCTTAATTATTTTTCTCCCTGTATTTTTACTCAAGTTTCACTTTCCTCCCCTCATTTTTAGGCGACTCACATATTTGATTCTTTTTTCTTTTTTCCTTTTTTTTTGGAGTTCTAAGGTCTTCTCTAACCCATTTGGAGCTAAACTCAAATTTTCCCCTCCAAAAAGTAACTATTTAGGTTTTGCCAGGACTCGAACTGTTTTTTTCCCCAACCTTTCATAATCAAATTTTAAGTATGCAACTTTATTAAATTGTTTAAGTCTAATTTTTTTTTAATGGATAGCCTTTCTTCATTTAATCTTTTTAAATAACTTCATAATTTATTTTTGTGAACCATTTAACCTAAAAAAATTGAAATTCCACTATAATTTTTTGTGGATTATTTGATAAATGAGTGGGTATTTATAGAGTTTTGAGTGAGTTTTGGGGTTGGATCTGATTTAGATTAATTTAAAATATTATTTTGACTGTTGGATTTAAATTTCAGTCGTTTGATCTTTATTTTTTTACTATTAAAATAGAATGGATTTAATTTAGATCATTGATTGGGGTTTCTATTGGAATATATATAAGGGATGTTTGAATTGTTGTCGTTGGATTCCAACGGCAACATCACGAGTGCGAGACAAAGTCTGCAACTGCACATGGGCTATGTCAACCTGCATGGGCTCCATAGAAGAAAAAAAATTCCAGTCAAGGCAATAGTTTGACTGGTACTTGGCCTCAAGTTTGGGTTATTATCCCAAATTTTGGCTTTGATTTTCTTGAGTTGGAAGAGGAAATGGGCTAAAATTTGGGATATTTTAGGTTTGGCCTCATGGGATGGAGATGGCTTAAGGCCATATCCATCCAATGCTAAAAGGGCTAAATCCAAAATTTCACCCTTCAAAATACAAATATTCATGTATTGCCCAGATTCAAACTGTTTTTTCCCCTAACCCTCTAGACTCAAAATTTGAGTTTGTAGTTTTATTAAATAGTTTAAAAATAGTTTAACTCTAATGGGTCCACAAAATTAACTTTGCACATAGGGAAGTGGGTTGTGTGAATGGGCTCCACCAAATTTCAGTCTAGGCAAAACGTTTAGTGCTATTCCACCCAAGATATTGACTGGATTGACATTTTGCATGGCCCTATACATGCATTGGGGGCTCCATTCATGCTATATTACCAAAATTTGACATTTGGTGTCACGTCCCTGGATCGGCTCCGCCGTGGCACGATATTGTCCGCTTTGGGCCCTCCTCTCTGCTCTCACGGTTTTGTTTATAGGAACTCACGAACAACTTCCCAGTGGGTCACCCATCCTGGGATTGCTCTAGCCCAAACTCACTTAACTTCGGAGTTCCTATGACTCCGAAGCCAGTGAGCTCCCAAAAGGCCTCGTGCTAGATGGAGGTAGGCATGTACGTATAACGCACATCACTTTTTCTCCGTTTGTCGATGTGGGATGTTACATTTGGCCTTTTCCACCATTGGAGATAGCCTAAGGGAGCCGAAGCTCAGAAAAAAGAACTACATAATCAAACTTTTGGGTTTAGCAACCCCACTCAAATCTTCCATATTTGAATTTCTTTTTTTATATTCTTTATCGGATCATAAAAACCCATTTTAAGAAGAGCTCTTCCTCATCGAAACCACTGGTTTCGCTTGGTGGGCTGAGAATGCCCAACTTATCAATTTATTCGACATGTGTATTTTTTATTTTCCAATGAATTTACATCTTTCATTAATGGAAATTTTTTTATGTATCAATACAATTTGTTTATAGGTGAAATGTCTTTCATCCCTAATATGGTAGTACCTTTGGTCGCCCCGTTTGGATTGGATTGGAGTTGAGTTCAAGCGAGTTCTTATGAGTCTCATCCCTCTACGTGGAACTTGTAAGACAATACATTGGACTCTTATTCATTTTAACAAGTTCAGTCCCAGCACAACAAACAACAGCTAAGACTCTTGTTAATTTTAATTGAAATAGTCTAATCCAGTCCTAGCCACCAAACACGGTGTTAAGTTACTCCATCCGCAATCAATTATAGACTTGGTCGGGTATCAATCACATGAACCCAAAAAAAATAAACTATATCATTTTAAAATACTAAAATATAACAAATTGAATTGAAAAAAAAAAGATTTTGAAAATTACAAATAAAAACTGAAAAACACTAAATTTCTAAAATACTTTATTTCAAACAAAGAAAATAAAATTTAAAATGCATTCTTCTGCCCTCTTTCTATTTTCAGCATTGCGTGAGTAAATGCCCAAGAGAACAATTAAATCATTACTCAAATTTATTTATTTTGTCAAAATCAAGTTTTATTAAATAAAAGGCCGAAGCTAGTTACACAAAGGTGAACTCAAAATATGAGTTCACCTAAATGCAACACAAAAAGGCATAGAGCTAACTACATTCATAAAACCAATGAGTGTGTTAGTTAGATTGTCCCATACTTTTGGTGTGCTTCCAAATGGTCTCATGAATTCAAACTTCCACAATATCCACGTGTATAAGTTTCCTCACTCCCCGAGTTCCCGTTCCTAACTTTGTGTCACAAAAAAACTACATTCATAAAACTCACCAAAGGCACGATGCCTACGTAAAGGCACAAAGCCCAAACAATTAAATCCTACAAGTTTGGGACAAGTATTTGTGTGGAGGGGCCCTAGAGAATACAGCCACCCCAGCCTATACTTAAATGTCTTTTTTTCCTTTTAATTGAAAGATGTAGTTTAGACAAACAACCGAGATTGCAAAAGGCTTGTAATTCAATTGGTTAAGAATATTTACCCATGCATCCTAGATTTGATTATCCCTCCCTCTAATATCGCTTTGTATAAAGAAAAAAAAAGAAGGACAAACTATAGTAAACCTCCCAACCTATAGGGTCATTTACAAGTTCATACCCGATTTTAGGGATATTTACCAGTAAATACTTAACGTCGTGAAAAACCTATAAATTGGCCTCTCCATTAGTCAAACCGTTAATGAATCTGCTAAATGCTGACATGTCAAAAGTTGATGATGTGGACTTCCACGTGGACCAAAAATTAATAAAAATAATTTTACTGTTTAAATTATTTTAAATTAATTTTAAAATCTCTCTCTCTCTCTCTCTCTCTCTCTCTCTCTCTCTCTCTCTCTCTCTCTCTCTCTCTCAACACCCAAAAAAGCAACAACTCGAAGACCTCGAACACTTCCAGAAGCACGTCGCCGATCGATTCTCCGACCTCTTATCTCTCTCGAAAGACTTCCCCTCCGACCCGATGCAGTCAATTGCATGGGTCCGGAAGTTGCTCGACGTTTTTCTCTGTTGCGAGGCTGAGTTCAAGGCTGTTTTGTTGATGGGTCGAGACCCATGCCAGATTTGAAGCGCCTAACATCAGTCACAAGAGTTTTTTTATATTTAAATGTTTTGCTTTATTGAAAATCCCTTGATAACGTTGAACTCTAGGCGCATGTTTATTAGCTCAAGTTTTTAGATTATTTTCGCAACAATTGAAATTTGAGAAGATCAATCTCTGGTTGAAGTTGTGAAGGGGATTTGCAATGCGGTAAAAGCGTTGGACATTTGCAATGCGGTCTCGCACAGGGTCGATTCCAGAAGCTAGCTGAGATTGATGTCTCTGCTCTGGAGCAGAGATCGATTGGGGACAGCCCGGATCTTGGACCCAGAGGTGAGTTGGTGGGGAAGGGGGAGGCTGCTGGGTTTTGGTGTTAGGGGAGGTGGGAAGGGCAGATGCAGTTGGCAGGCTTTGGCTGATGCTGCAAAAGCGAGGTCTTGTTATTGGAGATTTGTTTTGCTACAATTGTCTGTCCTGTGAGCTGAAATTTTATCAAATGAAGTTGGAGGAGAGATAGCATAAATCAAGGTTGTCCTGGAGGAAGCGGCTGAACTTGTAAATGAATCTAAACAAAAGAACCTAAGTTATTACAAGTGAGTTGAATTTATGATGTGTATTTAATGGAGAATCTGTATTTGAGTATTAAATTTTGGGTTGCATGTTTTTAATGTTAAATTTGATATTTGACTTCTTTTTTCTTGGACTGATTGCAACACATATAAAATTTGGTATGTTCTAAGAAGGCAAGCAGATGGTTCATGGAGGTTCTGTGAAGGGAAAGTGCAAACACCATCATAACATTGGCCTAGTTACTGGAATGCATGAACCAGCAGCAGCTGTCTCTGCTATGGAGCAGTGGTCAATTGGGGACGGCCCGGATCTTGGACCCAGAGGTGAGGTGGTGGGGAATGGGGGAGGCTACTGGGTTTTGGTGTTAGGGGAGGTGGGAAGGGGAGATGCAATTGATGAGGACGGAGATCTTGCCCTTGGTTCTATACAACGACAACGAGGTTGGTGGCGATGGCTTTGAAGGCGGTGTGCACGGAGGGAGGGTGGGCTAGTGGGGTGTGGGAAGAGGCAGTCAGTTGGGGTGGGTTTGTTGAGAAGGCTATGAAGGAAGAGAGAGAAAGAGCGTGTGTGTTCTGGGTCTGGGTTCTAAGAGAGAGAGAGAGAGAGAGAGAGAGAGATTTTTTTTAAAATTAATTTAAAATAATTTAAACAGTAAAATTATTTTTTGTTAATTTTTGGTCCACGTCATCAAAAAAAGGGGTCCCACTTTTGACATGTCAGCATTTAACATATTCACTAACAGTTTAGCTAACAAATGGGGCAATTTGTAGGTTTTTCGCGACGTAGAGTATGTACTGGTAAATGTCCCTAAAATCGGGTATGAACTCGTAAATGATCCTATAGGTTGGGGGGTTTACTGTAATTTAAAAAAAAAAAAAAAAAAAAAAAAAAAAAACAAGAGAGATACACATTAATACCATGTTTAGGGCTGTATCATATAATGGAGAAAGTAAGGAATCAGATAATTTAGGAATCAAAGAACTATCGAATCAATATGGGAAGAATCATTCCCATTAAGCTATTTACTAAACATATGGAATTAGCAAAGGAATGGGGTTGATTCCTATTATTATTGTTTACTAATTTTCTTAAATCAGAATCCAAATTAATCTGATTACTAAAATGCCATGCACATTTTCACCACAACAAATATATAATTCTCAAATTGGCTAAGGAAACCAAACTAATCCTGCAGCAAACCAGTAAAGCGGTGCAAACATGAGGAATCAATATGCTGAACAAGATGAACAGCAAGAGCTCAGTTCAATGATAATGTTAATAACACCTTTGTCCAGAGCCAATTTCAAACCAAAAAATAAACTCCAATAAATATATATATTTCACTTACATAACTAGTAAACAATCAAATAATAATAACCTGCATAATCTTCATACATTAAATACATGGAACTTCTTGGAAATGACTTTTTATTTTTATTTAGAGTTTGGGTTGTTTTGGAATTATGGTAAAGTGGTAATGATATTTTTGGAAGTTACTAAGAGAAAACAAGAACATGAATCGTATCGACTACTTCTCCATAGTTGATCTGATACCTAGATATGAGGGGACGTGATTGCGGATTTTGCGATGGGGCCCACTTATTTTTTTCATTCCTGATTGCAAGTAAACTCAAAGGAAGTCAAGAATGGAAATCATTCTCTTTCCTCCCATACCCATTATTAATACGTAAACGTGCCCTTAATTTGATGTTCCCGTACCCAAGGATTAAAATATCGGCCGTGCAGATAATATCGGGCCTCCAATTTACGGATATTTCGGGGGATATATCGTTATCGTTTTAGGTTTCGGGAAAAAATCAACAAAAATGACAGATATAGGCATTGAAACACATAATTTTTGTGTAAAACTTTCATAGATGTTATGTGCATTATCAATGAATGTATTGAACAAATAAAACTCAAAATTTACTAATAATGAGATATACATATGATGAAATATAAGTGGTATGTAATGCGCATTAATGAAAAGTTTGAAAATAAAATGTTAATTAAAATGAATAAACCATGCATAAATCCATAGTTTGTTTAAACATTGTATTACAATTTAGATAAGTGTCCATCTACATAAATGAAGAGCTTCAATGAGGTTCAAACAATGAGGAACAACCATCTAGATTCATACAATAATCATACCAAGTCATGTAACCCGAGCAGTTTGTAAGTCATGTTTGAACATAGTGCACATAGGTCTCTCTTGAGCTCCCTATTGTCCTCCCATATATGGGATAGTTAGGATTAACCAATTAGTAGGTCCATAATCTTTTTTATCATCTTGAGCTTCATAACTAGTTCCACTATAATTAGACATGACATAAACATAGACATAGACATCATAAGATTCATTTGAGTTAGTACTAGGTCTAGTTCCTATGCTCATAGATCCAAAACTGAACGTCATGTCCTCTTCAGATGGATTGGAGATATGTGGGTAGTGGACTGTGCATAGATTCTTCATATTAATAAATTATAGGGTTTTGAGCAAGGATTAGCTATTTTTGGGTTTCAATTTGCTTTAATCGGGGATATCGGGGATATCTCTGTTATGGGTATTGGGAAATATCGGGGATATCGGCAAAATATCGGGAATATCGCACTTATCGGGGATATATCGTCGATACAGGGGAAGATATGGCCTTACCCCCCAGTATCGGTGTCGACAGTTGAAAATACCGATATATCGGCAGATATATCGGTGTATCGGCCGATATTTCAATCCTTGCCCGTACCGCACCCAAGGCTTTACCCACTTATAAAAGGAAAGTTTTAGGTCACGTTCTGAAGGCTGGCGATCTAGGGTTTCGGTGCATGAGGGAGGTAGATAGAATCCGAACAAAGAAAGCTAATGAAACAGGGTATCCCGGTTACTGACAAAGTAGTAAGACATAATATACATTACTTACGATTACAAAAATGCTTCTTTTTTCTAAGCACTAAGGGAACATTTCAACCTACAAGATCCGACTAAAGGTTCTTCATATACGGCCTGCTCAAATTCTTAAAACCACGTAACAGTCGCTACCAAGAGTCATAATTAAAAATATCATCGGCTTGCTAGATTTTTTTACAAGGAACACTAATCAAGATGTATGAATAACATATTATAGCATATAAACTCATTCAGCTTCGAGTTCAGTGCCAAACTGCTCTAGCCGTGCAGTATCATCATCCAGATTACGGACCAAAGCATGGTTAATTAAACCATCATCCTCGCTTGCATGTATCTGCCTACCGCCAAACCTAAATTGACAGAATAGTAATAATCAAATGTAGAACCAAAAAAAAAAGGGAAGACAATAAAACATTGGAACAAAAAGGCAATAAGTTATGAGCAGCTCCATTCAGTGAGGTAGTAGGTTAGTTATTTCGACCCAACCTTGCAATAGCTGCAATTTTAAATTAGTAAACACAGCATATCAATTACCATCTTCCATTCATCAACTCTATGCACTTTTGAGCATCATTCCTATCCTTAAATCTGACCAAAACAACTCCCTGGGGATGATTCTCGCAAACCTACAAACAAACAAAACAGAAACCTGAGGAAATTAGGAAAGGAAAAGAAAAAAAGAACATACATAGATATGCATGCACACGCATATATCATGAAGAAATTCTGAATACAATTCTTCAAATCAAACATCCTTGCAAACTCCCCAGACAAAACTCCATAGGAATTGTGACATTAAATCAAAAGGCTGAGAGAGAGAGAGAGAGAGAGAGAGAGAGAGAGAGAGAGAGAGAGAGAGAGAGAGAGAGAGATGCCCAACATTTCCATAGAAGCTATCTTACCTTCACGGAGTCCACTGGACCAAGCTTCAGACATTCCTCCTCAACATCGGCCTTTAATTCTGAACATAAAGTTTCATCTGCCTGTAAACATTAAGAGAAAGGTACTCAGCAACCAGCAAGGATCAGTAAATGGCAAAACAGCCTTCTCCTTCTATAAGAAGCTCAGACAGGAACCATCAATTTCATTTGTAAAAATATAAGTACATGAAAAATTAAAATAACAATAAGGTCCATAATAGCTCTACGTGATGTAGTAAAAAGGCATATACTGAAAAGGTTGTGCATGCAAGTAAGCAGCACCAAAACATTGATCCATTAAGACTTGTTACGCAGAGAAAAGACAAGTTTTCCAATGATGTAGAATTCGTTAATTAGTTATATGAACCTACCCTCATTTCAGCAGGAGTGAACATGTAACGAAGAATAACAGTAGTGGCAATTGACACCTTTGCATCATCACGGCCACCTGTTCCATACGGAGAAAATGTGATCTCACTATTCAGAACAGATAAGGTCATCCATAATAAAAATTGTAATAGAAAACACTGCATATGAACAAATATAGAAAATGTCCAGCCGCTTGTGATGAATATGGCACATGCATATGATCCACAGACATACAAGTCATAGATTCACACTATTCTTTACTGTAAAACTCCGAAATGCCCAGAAACTACTTGTGAAGCGTAGGCATGCGCATATGATCCACATACATTTCCTTATGATTAAAACAATGAACACAACTCGAGCAGAAGAAAAGTTAATTTGTAATCTAAAACGATTGATGTAGACAAATCTCTATATTGCAAACAACTAGCTGTAGAAGCTATACATACTGCATATTATATAAGATATTGCATTCCTGAAATAAATATATTTGTTTCAAGAAGCCTCGTATAAGATATGAACCTACCCCAGCCAAGCATCTTCTCTTCCACCTTCTTCAGTTTCTTTTTCCTCTTATTGTCTGCTTGTTTGGCAACAAATTTATCCCCTGCATACATAACAACAGCTCATAAATTAAAAAGCACAGACCTTAACAGGCATCCTCAGTAGGCTAAGGGGCTTACGACCCCTCTCCCAGGCCCAAAGTTTAAAAAGAATATATTAGAATTCAAGGTTTTAAAAAATTGTAAATTACGTGGCCCCTTATTTGATAGTGAAAAAACATACATGTGTATGAACATTAACATCTCACCCATATCTACAATTAGTTTATCAGCAAATTAGATTTATTAATTTTGATGGGGTGACTGGCTTCTAATCTAAGGCATGCTATAATTTTTATAATACTGTGTAGATAAGGTTTCTAAAGTAGTTCCCTCATTTGTATGAAGTGTCTGGATCCCAACAGTTACCTTTCTGCTGAAACTTAGCTTGGGTGACCGACATAAGAATCTTGCCACCAGGACGTAGAGGTGTTCCATCCAAAATTTGGGTAGCCAAAACAACCGACGGTTCCTATAGTACACACACACACACACAATTAAGTACCCATATATGACATATTACAATCACGGAGACAGCAGAAGCAACTCAAAACATTCGTACCTTCAGATATGTAACAAGTGCATCTCCCTTTTTCTTTCCAGTCTCTTTGTCAACATACAGCTTCACACGTGGCTTTTTTGTTTCAGGATCCTGAGTGTTTATAAGATACGCAGTATGAGGAGATAATTATTATATCATAGTACAGAGTGTGGGAGACGTGCAACAAGGATTACAAAGTATAATGTTTCACACAGTCTCATGATGGGAAAACAAGGTCATTTTGCAGTATACCATGGCAAACAGTACTCAGTTGTATTGTATTAGTTAAAGCCCTATTAATCAAACAATAACTCTAAGCAAGACTCTGAGAATTCGATAAATTTATGGAAACAAAAGGAGTATTAGCTTCTTCAGTTCAGTCTCTGATAAGTACTATGCATCTTCAAAGTTTTCATTATAAAAAAAGTTCCCCAATCATGAGCTCACTTCTAAGAATCATTGAACCACCTTCAAAAATGGTAGTACTCAACAAATTAACAACATGAACTGTATCCGCACACAAAAAAGGAAGCTTACTAGAACTACATGATGAGATAAGTTATTTGTTCTCGCCATTCTAGAAAAAGTCAAATGTTTATTTTATTATCCCTCATCTCGGGAAAAAAAAATTGATAATAATTAATGTAACCTATATTGTCAATGTATAGCACAGCATAACCATACTCAAATATTAGGAAATCATGGCATGCAAAGTAAATGGTCTATAACATGTAACAAATTCCTACCTCCTTTATAATTCCACACTTGGTAAACACCTCCACCACCTGCCAAATATCCCTAAATTAGTATTGTGCCACAAAAATAGTGAGGATGAAATAATGACAGTGACTTACTTCGTCGACCGTTACATCATCCGGTAATCCAGTCACATAAACATGTGTATTAACCTTTAACTCAAACCAACTATCAGGAGGTTTATTAGCTTCCTGCAAAATATAACAAAACAAGACAGAAGGGGAGTAAACCAGTACTGCTTCATAAATTCTATACACAGAAATTTCAAGCCCAGACTAGCATAACTAATCTATTAATAGGATCCAATCAGAGCCCATCAGAACAATAGCCTTTGATATAATAGACTTTAATCAATAAATGGTACACCATCAACAAAAGCAGCAGAACAATATAAAAGGAGCAAACCTTCTTGTTAGCTTCCTTATCTGACAATTTTCTCTTAGAACTTTGATCTCCTTCTTCTACCTCACTGCTACCATTAGCGTCTTCCTCTTTAGAGGGACCAGAAGCGTTTCCAGGTGCATTAACCTCTTCCCCTGCAGAGACCTCAGAAAAATTGACAGCCGGAAAAACTTCCTCTTCTTGCAAGAAAGTCATCTCTTCTACCCCAAACGTGCTATCCTATTAGGCATTAAATCAGTCAAAAATACATTCAACAAAAACAAGTGAGAAACTTATGATGGCTGAGGGCCAAAACATGAGCAATTCGATTACTTGCGAGGTTAACATACTTATGGTGTTCCTTTACTAGGTTAATGAACAAAATATTCTCCATCAAATATTATGTAAACATCCAAACTTACATAAAGATAGGACTTCAACCACATTGCAAATAATAGCAAAGAAAAGAGACAAAACAGAAGCATGTCACTTTTAGATGCAAAATGTGGATATCCTTATTACTCTTGCTCATGTTAATTTCAATTCAGCCTATTTTCGCTATCTCACCACCTATCTTCCTCCAGGAAGATAAAGTGGAGAACCAACTTTGGCAAGAAAAACTGAATGGTAGTCAAAGCCTACCAATTATCAATGTAACTGACTTGAGACTCAGGAAAAAAACCATAGATATACTGTTATTTTTATGAGTCACGAGCATCCTTATGGCCCTCCAAGTGAGCGATTTGTTTTCGGAGAAGAAATAAGCTGTGTTTTGTACAGCCTACGAGTGCACAAACGTATTTTGAATAGGAAGAAAACAAAACCCAACACCCATAAAATTTGGAAGGAGAGAGAACATTTTACCAGGATTTCGGGTACTTGTCTAACTTTGAGCCTAGAACTACAAATACCCATATTGGTGAATGTAACATGAAATCTATTGCACAATCCAAACATCTGATAGATATTATAAGAATGAAATCACCAAATCATGATATAAGAGATTCAGTCAAATGAAGCTCATATGAAATTCAGAGTTTGCCTCTCTTTACTAGGCGTTATTCTGACCAAGGAACTGTGCCGACTCTCTGACCAAGGCACTGGGTCATATGCGTATCTGACACATTCCATCTAATGGAAGAGCTCATGAGAGCAGGTGCAGTCATGATAACCCCCATCTGATTTAATGATTCATTCCCAATGTAACATGTAGATGGAAATGAATGTCTTAAAGTTGAGTTGAGATTCAAGATTCGATAAAGGAAATCATTTATATTCACAGGGGATTGTGAATCTGGAGGCATAATAAGAATTAAAAGTGACTTAAATAAAATTAACATGTCTTAAGTATATCAATTCCAATTAACCTTTAACAAAACCACTGAAAAAAATTAACTAAACCTCTAAAACTTGGCAGAAACCATGAACAAATGAAAGCAAAGGCATATTATATCTCCATGAACCAACCTGAGGAACCCAAGCCCTAAGACCACGATCCCACTTGTATTTAGTCCCATCGTCATCGGTGAATTCTTCCTCACCCTCTGGTGGCGTCAAAGGTCTGTCACTATCTGCTTCTGCTTCACCAAGCTGCTTCCGCCATTTCTCAAAGTCCTCGTCGTCGTCATCAGTAGGGGGCACTGGAGAAGAAGAGAAACAAAATTGTAAGACCTTGTATAATTCATGGCATGGGACTGGTAGTCACAATTCCCATAAGGAAAAAAGAAAAAGAGAGAAGCATTCAATTGACCTGTGTTTGAAAACTGAGGTTCTTGGTCATGGCGAGATATTCCTGTGAACAAACCGGGAATTGAGGACAGTGACTGCCATGCGCTTCTTCCTTGGGCCCAGACAAGTGTAGTGTGGGTGAGGTACCCATTTAAGAAATGCTCTGTCCAGGCGAAGTAAATAAGCAAAGTAGAAGTGAAATCGAACATGATAGAGATTGATGGAACAATAGTTCTGAAACTGAAAGAGTACTCTATCAGATTACCAGTAGAGCTGAAATTCAGAAGAACAAAACAATGCGCCAGTAAATTTAATTTTAGGAAGGAAGAGCAAAGAGCATGCATAAGATTAACTGAAATTTAATTTCTTCATTCAACATAACATAGTACTCAAGTGAATTCCAGACAATAGATGGAACCAAATTGATATTCATTCATCCTATCTAAATTCTAATATAAAGGGAGGGCAAGCAAACTCACCACGCAACTCTGAAAATGCGTATGGACCAACATGTTGTTGATTTTCACCAAGAATGAACCATCCTACTTCACTCAACGTTTCAGGCTGCCCTTCCATCCCCAAACTTTTCTGTTCCGAGCCTGTAAGCAAGCAACCAAGAATCAAATATCAAATATCAAATTTCCAGACCCTTTTCTTTCTTGCATTTTACACACACACACACACATGTATATATTTATACAGGTTACAACAAGACTTTTGGTCGAATCATCATCAAATCGAATCAAATACATAATAATTTTGCCAAAATGTAATTGCACGCACCCGATTGCTGATGCCGTTGCTCTTCTTTCTCTTTTTCTTCTTTTTCTTCTTCTGGGTGAGGGTGATGATTCTCCGAGCCGTTCTGCAACGACATCGTTCTGCCTGCCTCTGCGATTCTGACTAACGGACCAAGCCGAGAGCGTGCGTGTGGTGATAGTTGTGTAATAATACCCTCCGTCTGCTCTGCCCTCTGATTGATTGGAAAACTCTGGGCTCGTTCTGCACTGACCACGTTCGGAGGCAGGCGGCATGAGCTGACTTGGGTTCCAGTTCTAGGCCATTGGTTGATTTGGGTTGGGGTCCAAACATTTTCACGCCAAACCCACCAAATTGAGGTCCAATCCAAACCCTTGTATTGTAATTCGTAATTTGCACCCAAACCCAAATTCATTTATATATATATATATAACACTATTGCATCATCAAGAAAAATAAACTTGGATTATTTTGATTAGATTGAACAAAAAGATAGCATATATAATGGATTAGTTTGATTAGCCTGTTAGATCGATGGCATGCAAATGCATTATCAATTATCATTATGCAAAGCAACAACTATACAAATGCATTATCAATTATCATTAGGCAAAGCAACAACTATCATCCCCTTGGCAAAATTCTACAATGAGGATGTTATATATGGACTTCTTATGTGGATCTTCATATTAGTCACATAATCATTTCATTAAATTTACGTAAAATTACTATTTAAATGAATCATGTGGCCAATATCAAAGTCCACATCTATAGCCCATGTATTGTACCTTCACCATCGAACGACTCCATCACCTTGGAGGTTGTTGGTTGTTCATGAGTGTGAGTTTGGGCCAGATCAGATCTAATAGTAATAGGGAGTAGCGTGCGTGAAGCTGTTTTGGTCTTTCACTTGATTTGGGCTTTAATTTAGTGAATAGGCCCTGTTCAGTTTGCTCGTTTGGTTGGGGCATTGGCCTCAACTCAAATCAAATGTATGCCACCAGCAAAATTCAAAATTTTAAAAATCAAATGTATGCCACCAACCAAAAGAAATAAGGAAACGGAAAGCACTCGCTCCTCCTGCTCCTCCTACCGGGACTGTGAGTGGGAGACTTGTCCTAATTAATTACTAAAAGCAAAATTAATTAACTAGCCGTTACAACAGCTTGCTATGTATATGCTAATGTGGGGTTGTAGTTGGGTCCCAACTCTAACGGTCATATTCTGACCCTCACACAACACACACTTGACAGCAAAAGGAAAAATGACCGTTAGGCCTCACTGCCCTTTGGAATACTATACTCCATGTTTATATATATGTATCTTCCCCACAATCTGAATCACATTCCTCTCTCTCTCTCAATCAAAATCAGGTTCACACATACCTGCAAATTCCAAAAGCCACCATTTCAGTTTCTGATCAGAGCTTCCAAATCCCAGCAGAGTAGTAAAGGTAAATTTAGTAGTTGAAGCAGAGGAAAGTAAGGATCTCAAGTAGAGTATAAAAATGGGTGGTCTGTCGATGAATATTTCCAACGGCGCAGGAGGAGCAAGGTCTGGTTCCCAGTACCACACCCACAAGGTGTTCCTGTTGTGCAACTACATTTTGCTAGGCGCGGCCTCCAGCTGCATCTTCCTCACGCTGTCTCTGCGGCTGCTCCCCTCAGTGTGCGGCTTCTTCCTCATCCTCCTCCACATATTCACAATTGGGGGGGGCCATATCTGGATGCGCGGCAGCCTCCGCGGGGACGACGTCAGGCAAATGGTATGGAGCCCACATGGTGGCCACAGTGCTGACAGCAATATTTCAGGGGTCAGTGTCAGTACTCATTTTCACGAGGACGGGTGACTTTCTTGGGGAGCTGAGGTCGTACGTGAGGGATGAGGACGGCGCTGTGATACTCAAATTGGCTGGAGGCCTCAGTGTCGTCATCTTTTGCTTGGAGTGGGTGGTCTTGACCCTCGCCTTTTTCCTCAAGTACTATGCCTCTGTCCAAGGCACTACTACTGCTTCTCCTGCTATGAGGAGTTCCAAGGTGCAACAAGAGGAGGACTTGAAGGACTGGCCTTGGCCATTCCAAGTCTAAACATTCATTCAATCAACTATCATATCCATCTCCATCTGCTGCTTTCGTTTTATTCTATTCTATTGATTAAATCAAATTTTATACATGTTGTTTGCTGTGTGATTCGTCGATTCGATTCGATTCAATTCAGTTGTTTGTTGTGAGGATCAGGAAAATTGCACTTTCTCATCTGTTATATGGAAGTTTTGTTCTATTCTCTTTATTAACTCATCCACAATAATTTCATTCGTAATTACAGAATTGGGAAAAAATTATTGACAAATTACTTGAGAAAGACACACCATTCCATTGAAAGGGCATACAGAAGAAACACATTCTAAAGGAAAAACGAAAACACTCTTCTAAAGTTATACTTAAACCTTTACTTCTCTACCAAAAAGCCAGCTGATTGGAACAGTGGATGATTGCTTGGCCTTTCCCTGAGCCCTCTCCTCCAACCTTCTAATTCTGGGCGGCAATCTACACACAAAATCCTGCGCTTTACGTCCCTCACCCGAAAGACCCGTCAACTTCTCTATGTTCCATCTTCCAACCAAAAACTCCAAAATATCAGCATAATCCCTAGCAGTATACACTTCAAGCCGCTGGGCAACAGCTGAGAAATGTTCAAAAAGGTTATCATCTTGACCATCGTACATCAAGTGGGCTGGCATTGATATTTTTTTTTCATCATGTCAGCTAAAGCCAAGACAGTGCCATCTGGATCAATCTCAAAGAGCTTTTCCACAATCTTTGTATAGGCAGTTTCATGGCGCTTTTCATCCGAGGCAATGGTACCACATATCTGAGCCAATTTCAGGTCCCCATGCTCTTTGGCTTGCCTGGCTGTGTTCCCATGGGAGATGAATGTTGCCCTCTCTTGAAATGAAGTATATATGAACCCAAGGTAGGGATTGTTTTCTGTTTTAGGATCCTACAAAGTACACAAAATTGAAAAGCAGGATATAATAAGACTGAATTAAAAACAAGATAATATCAGACAGTAGTTTGTAGTACAATAGTTTGTCCAAGTTACTGATCATAATCATCACCACAAATTGAAGCATGCCATATTTTGACATGAAGGAATTCATAATTTGGTGGAACCACCAAAGACTAGACTGCAACAAAACAAATTTAATAACATTTACTGTTAAAAAAATTTCACTAATTATTGTCTTTCCTATTGTGTTATACTTGGGAGTCGGGACCAACAACATAAGATAAAAAGGAAATTGCACCTTACTCCGGCACTTAGATTCCTCAAAGATTGATATAAATCCTTAAGCTTTCCTATTATACCAAATTCCTAAGCATTGACTCATCATCAAGGAAATAATTAAAAACCGAAAAACAAACAAACAAATATCTCACCATTCCTGATCCAATAAGATATTGAATTGTCTTTTCAATTTGTTTCATATCTACTCGTCCCGAGAGATAAAGATACTTGTTTAGAAGGTCACCATGCCTGTTCTCTTCGGCAGTCCAGGCCCTGGTCCATATTGCCCAGGAAGTAAGGCTTGCACCAGTCTCATCCCGAACTCCATCCAAGGTATTAAGCATTGTCTGATAAGTTGGTAGGGCTTCTTCAGTGATCATATCTCCAACCAACACAACAAAATAATCATCAGGAATTTCCTTTGCTCTTTCCCTCAACTCCTTAACTTGATCATAGAATCCATCTGATTCAGGCATTGGAAGAAAATCTTGTGGTTGCCAGCATTTCTCAACTGGCTTTAGGTGTACCAAGATGTTCTTATCAGCCCAATCTTCTAATGATTTGAAGATCTCAATCTGTTGAGGAGGCAGTGAATGTTTCACTTGAACATGTACCTCACGTGGAGGCAAAAAAGACTTCTTCAAATTTTCCATCTCACTACAACAAGCAGAAAAAGATCTTAAAATGATATACTTCAAATTACAAATCTAACAACCATTAAGTAAGCTTTCTAATTCCCCAAATAACTAACTTATAAGGGTATCTATCACGTACTTTGGATTACATCATAATTAGATAAACTTACCTAGGAAACCACATACATCAAATATATACATATAATAGTATTCACGGTTTAGGGAGAGAGAGGGAGAGAGAAAAAAAACAATTGTATTGGAGTACAAAAAACCCAAAGTCTGCCCATGAAGAAACAAAAGACAACGCATGATCCACCATCGAATAAAGAACAGAGAAGTCAAAGATACAGGCAGCTACCAAATTCAAAACTAAAACTGAACAAAACACACTTTAATTGTTGCTGACAGTGCCACAACTATAATTGAAAACATGAGGACAGACAAATGTAGATTTCACGGATGTAAGAGCATTCACAATCATGCTCTCCATTTTTTAGTTTAAATTTAGCTAAAAACATATAAAAGCTATTTTATGAGCTCTTAATAAAATTTAAACTCTAATCATGCTCTCTAGTTTAGGGAGTCATAAATGCTATAACTCTGTTTTAATTGGTCCATCTCTATTAAAAAACAATATAAAAAATAGTTAGTATTAATTAAAGGTTTAAAATACTCCTGAAAAAAAAGCAACATTAAACTATAGGGAGCCACTAAGAGTGCTTTCTCTCTCCTCAAATTTAGGAGCTCCTAGAGGTCTCCCTATTTTAGGAGGTGGATAGGGAGTGTGGTTGGAGTTGTATTTTTCTAATTCCCCCCTAAAATTTGTCTAAGGAGGTGGTTTAGGGAGCCATTGTGGATGCTCTAAACAACTGTCAATCAAAATACTATTAAACATGTTCACAAATACGGCACTACCACATTTGACAAGAGGGAAAGTGGGGGCAACAAACTTGAACAATATCGCATTATTCAAGCGCATGTGATAATTGTCAAACACAAGTCCTAGACACAAAAATGAATAGAGAGAGATAGAGAGGTACACAGAAATCCATACAATCAGGAGACTACATTGTAATAAACAATTGACAAACAAGAATAATGCATCGACTTAAACATTAAACAAACAAAAGAAGCTGAATTTAGTTGGAAAAAAATACCAAGTGTCCAACTAGATTCATGTTAGTCAAACAAGTGTAATCACTATGAAAGAATATGAGGAAAAGGGCTATAAATTACTCAAACACATAAACAAATAAATACATGTTTGAAAATATAAAACATCAAACTGCCAAAAAATGAAGACACGGGAAAACAAGTTTTACAATAACCACGGGACCTAGTTCCAAAAGAAAGAATTAAACACAAAAAATTCAGACCTAACTCTCAACAGATGTGAGACATAGTTAAATAAGAAACGCATATCTTCATATTGAAAAGGACAAACAGAAAACCTAACTAGCAATTTTCTTTTCTCTTTTAGGACAACCCCAGCGAGATCAAAACAAAATTTATTTCAATATCAATTATAAAATAAAGGAATTTTTTAAAATAAAAATATAAGGGAATAAGATTTAATCATCGACATAAGTAAACTGTACATGCTTCACAAGCAAAAATTGAACACTAAGCATAAAAATCAAACAAAAATAACTTACAACTAAAATTAAAAATAAAATAAAAACCCGTGGATTGCTGCATCTACATAGAGCATCACGCAACATGCAAAGCTAAATGAAGAGAGAAGAAAACATAAGAGTAACATAATTCGAATAATCACCGACTTCAGTAACTACATGACAGTTCTCGAATTGAAAACAAAATGAATGAGTGGCAAAGCACAAACTTCAAAAAACACCACGAGGAAAAGAAAAAAAAAGAATTAGAAGAGTACAAAAATAAACGCATATTTAAGAAATTAACCCCATATTCAACTGCACTGGCACAAAACCAAAAACCCCAGATCAACAGAATGGCTAAAAATTCATTCTTGACGATACCCATTTGCATTTTGCAAAGGGGCGTAATACAGTCATGCAAAAACGAAACAGAAGATACAAATGAATGGAAAAAACAATAAGAAAGAAACTCACTTAGCGGGAGAGTGAAGAGTAGAGGCCATGAAGATTTTTGGAGATCTAAGATTGTGGGACTTAGAAAGGAGGTTGTGAGATGGGAAAGTCATCATGGAATTGAAACTCAGAGCCATTCTGCTGTCTTTTCTTTCTTTCTCAGTTGTTGCCTTGTTTATTTATCTCTAGAATCCAAAGAGCTTTGCTAAATTGCTACTCAGTTGGTTTCAGCTTTATATTCAACCTCTTGGTGGGAGAGAGGGAAGAGAAGAGAAGAGGAGAGAGAGACAGCCGCAGGCAACCAAACGATGAAATGTCTGGAGAAAGAAACGGGAAGGTCATTGGTAAAGTTGGCCTCCTTTCGATAAGGACCAGTCATTTCCCACCTAATTACGTCACTGCCACTTCAGTTACAGGTCGTCGTTACATTTTGTGGGTGGGGGAGGCGGGGGGCGGTTTTGAAAACATAAGCCAATTTATCCCAAGTTTTAGAGCATTTCCACCGTTCTCTCCCAGTCAGGCCCCCCTATGCCCTTGATCCCGTTTTCAGTGCCGAAATGTTGCCCAGGCAAGAGCTGGGCTTCACCAACTCGGGCGAGGCCCAAAGTAAAATCAGTCTGTTCTCCTGCCTTAAGGTTCTGACGTCACCATTGACGCCAAGATGGCGTCAACGCACAAATTCAAATTCTTTTGCCGTTGGTGCATGATATGCACGCGGGGATCCTGTTCATCATGCACGCCAATGGTAAAAAAAAAAATTGATTTTTTTGGTTAGCACCTGCTTTCTACCAACGGATAAAAGCCACGTGGCACTACTTGAGGTGTCCGTTCCATTGTTCCACTACCATCCAATGGCACAAAAATTGAAGAAAAAATAATACCATTAAATTTTAATTTTTTTAAAATATAAATATCTACCAATATTATTCACTTTCTGTACCAAATCTTCATACAAATTTTTTTATATTCGCCCTAAAACTAAACATATAGAAATAGAAGCAACTTACAGGTGACGTGGACGGTCTAAGGACCGATTGAGCCCTCGGTGTGAGCACGTTCTTCCTTGGGATGCGATGCTAGACCTGGGCTAAGGGGAGAAACAACATCTGAGGTCTAGAGTACCGATATGGTACCAGCCGAAAACCCTCCGATGCTAAAGTAAGTTGAGAAAGAGCTTTGCTATTAACAAACGCTAGAGCATGAGAATCAAGCTGAAAGTCTTACCCTGTGTCTAGGGCGAGAGGCTTTATTTATAGAGAGTGCCTAATTTGCTCTTAGTACTTAGTTTCGATGTGGGACTCGTGGGAGTGTCTTCTGGGGTCGATACGAGTCTCAGCAAAATATCAAAGTGATAGGGGGGTTGAGGTTGAGTTTGTCCCTTATAATCGGCACGGTGCACCGATCGTATGTTCGAGGAGCTTCCAGGAGCTCTTGCCGATCGCAAGGGGAGGGGGAGGGCGACAGCTATGTCGGGTGAAGAATCAATCGCGGACGCCGATCCATACCTAACTGATCTATCAGTGGGCCGCAGTGTTCCCTAGCTTCATACTATTTCCATGTGTCATAATGTGAGTGAAGGGGTCAGATACGGTACAAACATTCTCTTTCCAATGTTATTCACTTTTCACACTAAATTTTCTACTACTAAATTTCATTTGTGTAAAAATACAAATAGCATCTTCCATCGAAGTTGGAGGGTCGTGGACAACCATGGAAGATGTTTTGTTGTGTGAGTGTTGGGTCCAAGTTGGTCATTGCCCGATCACAGATAATGAGATGGAGTTATCTCATATGTGGAGAAAAATTCATGGAATTTTGTGAAAGATCGGGTTCGCCTTGTACGAAAATGGCATTGGCTAGTAGGTGAAATTTTTTGAATAAATAGTTAGGGAAATGGAGAGATGCGTTGGCAAAAGCGAGGGACAACGTTCAAAGCGGCGAAAATCTTGGCAACGAGGTAAATTTTTTGTATATTAAATTTAACGTCATATATTTTTATATTTTCTTGCATTTCCAATTTGTTTTTTTTATTATAGATTATGCAAGGGCAAATGTGGTTCGATGGCATAGGCCAAGGAAAAAAAATCTTTCAACAATCACCAATGTTATGAAGAATTGTTCGAGATTCAAAATTATTCTCACGAGTCCGACCATTGTGTTGAATGAGATGCCGCTCCACAATTCACTTGCATCGGATTTGCTATTAGACTCCCCGATGAATCAAGATTCGTCAATCCAAAGGGAGCCAAGTCCTATTGGGAGAATGCGACAAAGGCCAAGAGAGGAAGTACTTCGAATAATGATTGTGCAAAAAATTTGGAGCAAATTGCTATTAATGGCACACTGAGAATTGAGAGAGACATGAAAAGAGATGAGGTTGACAAGGCAAGAAATGAAGCATTTGCAAGAGAAATTAAGTATGCACACAAACAAGACATGAACAAGAAAGATCGGGAAACCAGAGCCATGGATAGGAGCCATATGTCCCTTGAAACAAGAATCAAGGGATGTTATGAGAAGAAGTGTAGCACCCCATCCCGAAAATAATAGTTTAATTATTTATTTATTGTGAAATTACATTTTTGCCCTTAGGTGTAAGGGTCACTTTAGTCACTTTTTGTTTAGGAAGGATTTTGGGGAATTGAGCGGCACCTTGCATAGAGCTCGACAATAAAAGTTCATAGACATGTGGCACGCCCAATTCCGAGTTGTAATAAATGAGGAAAGGTCTAGAAATGAAAAGGACGCAAAGGAAATTTTTAAATTTGTTGCTGCTACAGTACCCGCTACAATAACCAGGGCTTTTTATTTTTATTTTTTCTCCTTCTTCTTTCTTTCCCCCCTCCCCCGACACTTCTTCTTCCTCTGTCCATTCACAACAGTCACTATAGCAAACAGTGATTGTTTGACTTCCCAGCCACCAATAAACGTAGTCGTGCACCGGTTGGC